TAAACGATTTATTCTGAAGACTATTTAATAAAGTGGTAAGAAGTTACACGAAATTAATTCGGGTTTACATGAATAGTGAATACTGGTTTACATTATGTTGCGTGTTAATCCGATAATCATGAGAAATCTATAATTCAGGTCTCCTATACATATCTCCTATATATCAATTAACTAATCAATTATGAGGTCATATTCTCACACAACAGTCACTAATAACTAAATCGTGAATGATTGAAATCGAGTGATAAAAGTACAAATCAATATTACCTGTGAACAAGCGAGTTATTTATTTCTATCCTCCTAGTTAGAATTGTTAATTCACAGTAGTACGTTCTTCATTGATTTGCAAGACCTTCTCTGTTAGATCCGCACGAATTTCAGCGAAGGGATCTCTTTTCAACGAATTTATTATCAAGCTGTACAATCGTATATATATGAATATTTTGTTCTTGTAAAAGTAATTCCGTGAGGAAATGTGAACATAGTTAATAAAATGGTTATAATACTAGATTACGTAATATGAATAATAACAATAGATTTAGTGAATATAATAAGATGATTAAAATGTTTTTGATGTAATAATTAAAGGTCATAGAGGTGTACAAAATTAAAGTGATATGATGAGCGTTCATGAATAAAACAATGCGAATCTAAAACATAAGTAAAGGGGGAATGCAGTAATAATAATAATAATAATAATAATAATAATAATAATAATAATAATAATAATAATAATAATAATAATAATAATAATAATAATAATAATAGGATAATCAAACTAATTAAGGCCAAGGTAACGATAACGATAAGACGTACTTCTTTTGTACACATAGTTCTGGTTTAAGCTCCTGGATGGTAAGAGCTTCGGCTATTTTTAAAAGTTGGATACGAAGAAATCTGGGTAGATTTGAACGAATCATATAAACAACCTTAAAATCAATTTGTGGATATGTAGAGTGGTTACAGTCGATTAGGTGTTCAATTATAGAACTCCTAACTGCTTTCCGTTCACCCTTACAAAACCAAGCTGGGATATGTTCCCGTATCCGAGTTGGAAGCGAGCGCTGGCTACGGCCAATCTACCTTGCTCCACAAGAGCAGGTGAACTGGTAGATGCACATAAAGGCGACCAGACGAGAAAGCTTATCTTTTATGGATACAGAAAATAAGTTTCTACTAGTGAAGGATATTCGCAGTTTTGGCGCGTTAAATGTTCTTCTAATAGTTATTGTTAGACGATTTTTGATTACGTCTGATGTTCGATCACCTTTAAATACCAGACTTATATAAAGGTTTTTCTTTGGAACGGAACAAGTAGATTTATTGTCGTAACTACTTCTATTCATATTCTTTTCTATGCAACGTTCTAGCTAACCATTTTTCGTCAAGGTTTTCTTGAGGAATGCGAGTTCTTCGTTAATGTATTCCGTACTGCATATCTGATGTATGCGATAGCATAAAGAATGGATGCGGTTTCTCTTCCTACTTAACGGAACCCAGCTATAGAATTTGGTTAGCTGGCCATCCCATGTTTGTTTTCTGAAGATGGATCTTTTTAAAGAACCATCACTCTTTCTCATCAGACGTACATCGAGAAAAGGAATTGATTGGTCTCGTTCCCTTTCTAACGTGAAGTCTATAGAAGGGTGGCACGAGTTAAAAGTGTGTAGAATATCATCTAAATCAATATTATTGTCATAAACAACAAACGTGTCGTCCATGTATCTCACGTATAGGTGGAATCGATTGATCATTGAACGGAGTTGGTCGTCTTCTACTTTTGCCATGAAACAGTCTCCTAAAATTGAACCCAATGGAGACCCCATTGCGATCCCATCCCTTTGTCTATATATTTCATTACTGAAACTGAACTGGACATTAAAAGTACAGCGTAACAATAGATCTTTCAAGTGTTCAGTTGGCAAACCTAAATCTATATAGTTAGAATCAATATACTCACATAAATAACATATTGTTTCGGTTAAAGGTACACTAGTGAACAAAGAATTAACGTCAACCGAGAACATGTGTTTTTCGGAAGTATTAACGTCCTTAATACGATCAATAACATGTTAATTCACAGTAGTATGTTCTTCATTGATTTGCAAGACCTTCGCTGTTAGATCCGCATGAGAAACATTGATCGGAAGACATCAGAAAAAATAACAAAATTCTGGAAGTTTCTCAGAATCGAAGTATGAAATAAGCACACTGGTGTAATGGGAAGTTTGCTGACAATGCTAAAACTTCTGTAATTATTTCGCAGTTTATTATCATTTGTGTTTTGTTTGTTTAGTTAGTAGGTAGTTTTATCACTGTATTTTTATATTCTCCCTATTGTAAGTCTCAAGTTTACCTACTATCTATAAAGAACATACTACTGCGAATTAACAATTCTAACTAGGAGGATAGAAATAAATAACTCTTTTTCAGAGGTAATATTGATTTGTACTTTTATCAGTCGTTTTCATTGATTAACGATTTAGTTATTAGTGACTGTTGTGTGAGAATATGACCTCATAATTGATTGGTTAATTTAAATAGATAAAATAAAGTACATGAACTGAAATAATTAGTACTTTGTATGATTCTCATTTATTTGAAATATCTAATTTACTTTTTGTTATAATAATTAAAGGTCATATAGGTGTAAAATATGGTGATATGATGAGTTTTCACGAATAAAACAATGAGAATATACGACATAAGTGAAAGGGAGAATGCAGTAATAATAATAATATGATCTTTAATTATTATACTAAAAACATTTCATTCAGTTCACAATAATCGACATTTACTGGAGCAATAAAGATTTCAGTTTTCCCGCTTGGTGATATTAACTAATCCAGATTCTGTTGATTATTACTGTTTTATTCACAAAGCAATACAGCCTAATCCAGAGTGTTTGTTATTGACTGAATGAAAAGAGTATGTATTTCTAGTGTTTCTGAATCAATGTAAATGATCACTACGTTCTCATTACCACTCAATTGTGCTCATGCATTCTTTGCTGTTCTCTTCTCACTCCACTTATTTATTCAGTATTATTTATACTACTTGTTGCTACTATGCAGTAGCCAGTTACATTTCTAATAACCGTTGAACACACAGTATAACGCATAGTTGATATCGTGTAATATTCCCTCACTGTTTTCATAAACTGGTAACATTCACTTTGTTCATTATTGTGATTGCATTCTCTTAACACTTGTAAAAGTTTCCCTCAGTTTATGTGCATGTTTCGAATCTTGGTTTTAACACGTCAGCTTCCATAATCTTTTGATCGTCACTATTGACTTTAGACACAGATACTGACTGTTACCCACTCTATCGGAGCACTTCCTCTTTCTTTCCCTTCCTTAACCGCCACAGATAACCTAAGTTTCGATGCTTGTGCGTAATTCACATATATTTTGTCAGCAGTATAATGATTCCCGTAGGAATATTTGAAAATGAAGAAGATTTGAGGGAACACTTGTTTTCATTAATTTTATCATCAGGCTCTACAGTTATAAATCTATAATTATTGTAATATTTTACAAATGCCATAAAATAAGCCATGCACTAATTGATTTGACGATGTTGTATGTTAAGAATGGTAAACGTTTGTGTCTGTGTGATTATTAGAGCTAGTTGAATTATCATACGCGCATCAGTTCACTGAATATTACAATCACACATTCCTGATGAGTCCCTAATAGCACAAAACGTAGGTCCAGAGTTTCCTATCTACTGCTTCCAATAATCACCTTACATCTCAAAGTAGTTCACGCAATGTCGATTCATTTAAACTAGGAGCAGTATTGCAGCTTGATCAACAGAATTTTAATACCATTTTGAATTAGGTTTCACTGACAACTGATTTAAACCTGGTTCAACGCAAAGCTATTTATCTCGTCTCTGAATGGGTATGGTGATGTAAACAGGCTTTTTCAGTGACAATAATGTCGTAGGTCTCACTGTACAGTGAGCTTTCTACAGATTTATGAATATTTTAGGATGACCATTCTCCATCAATGTTTTGTTTGTACCACTACGACCAATTTCATTTATTCGGCCTTATATTATATCCCATTTGCATTAAACTAGGAAATGCTATGACACCTAAATGCTGACCTTGCTTTTTAAAAGATCGATCGTCTGATTGAACCATTTTCTATTCTACTTTATTGGTATAATATTGGTAAACTTGCGTATTGTTTTGTCTTGAATAAGCGCTTTTGCTGGAATCAACTACAGGTGTTTGGGAATTCCACAATGAGTCTCAGCATGATATCATGCTTTCTCAAGGATCTGATGAATTTGGTAGATGAACTAAGATATGACGTTTTTATTGACCGTTTGCTGATCATGATAATAACTAGTGACATAATATAATGAAGAACGGTGAGCGAACATTTCATCAAATAAAATAAAACTTGTGCAGAAATCTATTTCAATTCAGAATAAACTATTACAAGTCACCTGTTCATAACAATTCGCCATCGTCATATATATTTCATTGGAGGCAGATTCAGACATAAACCATCCACTCCCAGCTTCAATTCAAAGTAAAACACCAGTTGTCTCACTAAACAGTTTGCACACAGTAAACATTTTCAACATTCATTACTTGAAAACACGTTAGAATCATATGAATAGACCAAAATGAAATACATGCACAAAACAAACATTCCAGTAAATTAAATGAAACCGAAGAAGCTATGCTCTGAATAACAACACATGGTACAGCCGAACATCACAGAATAGCAACAACGATAAAAATAATAATAATAATAATAATAATAATAATAATAATAATAATAATAATAATAATAATAATGGTAATAATAATAATAAGGTAGAAATCGCTTCTATTCGTAAACAGATTAGACTAAGAAACAGTATGATTCACATCTGAAATCTAATAAAACAAGTGGGTAACATCACGTAGGTTGATAAGAAAGTTCAGCAATAACATTCTGTTCATATATCTGGGTAGAATAAAATTTATCTGGAGATCACTTGGACCATTTGACCACCTTCCTTTCGTGGACGAATTGATTAATTGGCTCTTTTGAGTCAATCGGTAATGTGGCCAAATAGAACGGTGTATCAGCACCTAAAAACATCAAGAGAAGCACAACATTTTGCTTAAGTGATCAGCTACAAAGACTCATGAGTGATGTAATTTTCCTAACCACCCTATTGACTGCGGTGAACCCAATTCGATATGAAGTTCTTACTGACATACGTCGGCTGGTAAAGGAATAGTACACATTTTTGACGAAAATCGATTCCTCGAATAATCAGAAATAACATTGTAATTACTTACATATGCTTTAATATAAGTTCACATCACTCCTACCTGAGTACATTTTTCACATCCCTTGTGAAATCTGATCTCATACCTGACCCTAGCTCACAAAATTGTAATCTCTGTTCAAGTGGTTTTATCAATGAAATGTAGAGATGAAACGAGTTTAGTATATCGTGACTCCCATTATGTGGTTTCACGAAAAACAAACCAGTATCAAATGGGGGTTTATTTGAAAATCTACAGATATTCGATCACAATGATCACGTACTTCATACCTAAAGTTCAAGGAAATATTCGGGTTTCATGAAAAATCTTGAAAACAATTTCGCAACACAAAGTAAATAAATTCTTTATGAATTTAGACTAAAGATCAAGGAACATTTATGGGATGTTATTAAAGACCGAACATAATTTCTTCTTATTATATTCGACTGCGCTTGTTTTAGTGAGCGTTTTCCCTTCACATTACAGTCAATCATCAAATTCGACAGTTGAAACCCAAATGTTAGACAATAGTACGCTCTCCTGATGCTCAGCTGTTCCCGAATTCAACAAAATAGTGGTCAAATGATTCTGTCAAAACAACTGACTTTCCAGATAATACATATATACAAGGATATATACTCACCTTCATCCGTTGTCTTCACACCTTTATGGTCAGTCATATCAGTGTCAACATAACCAGGACAACACTGTCGAAATGATGAAAACGCAAAGATAAAGTAGTAGAATCCAATTGAACAAAACTATCAAATGTTATGTTAAGATTAAAACCATTCACTTCCAAGCAATCATAAACACTCAAATCATCACTTTAACAATACCATTCACCAAATTAATTACTCTTAGCCTTCAACAAATCAGACAATTACCTTCCCTAGGCACCGACTCAACTATTATAGCGAATACAAACCAAGTTCATGGCATCCTAAACAACCTCGATTATTCCAGTTGAAGTCTAGCTTAAATATTTCTAAGTTAAAGTAAGTTTTTAAACCATGGAGCAGTGGAAAATTAGTCGCACTCATCCAGTAATGCTGTACCTAATACAGAGATATTGAGATGCCGAGGACATTTCTGATGAAGCTTGCTTCCAAAAGGGCAGTACTGTAAACAAATTAAAGATAGTTTTAGTGTGGAGAAACGATAATTATTACTATCCAATAAACAATGTGTAGCACTCGAGTGAAGATTTCATTCATTACATGAGCGAATACCTGACATTTCAGTTTAATTTTCAGAGTGAGTTACTTGAAGTATATTGATAAATTTGTACGAATATTCGTCAATATTAGAACGAATAGTTTGACAGAAATTTGGCGCCGAGTATAGAGAAGACATTGTATGCGAAAATTATATTTGAGATCATCTAAGCGGCTGAAATTTAAATAACTCCAGACAAGTTTGCTGGACAAAACGTTGGAATTGTTTAAATTTCAATCACTGAGATTATTTCAAATATAATTTTCAGATACTATGAAAGTAACAACACAATAATACTTAGGTCATTTCAGCATAATTTCAAAGGAAGTGAATTAAAATAACTGTGCTTCCCAATCATCGCAATCAACCGACCATAATTTTAATCAAAATAACTATTCTTGAAAACAGAGTGACTTTCATTCCATCAGGACCGAAAGCATATACCACATCAAGGATCCTACGGCTTAGAAAATTTCAAGTTAATAACAATCGCATATGAATAGTGTGTTGTGTAGTACTTTTAGCATACATCAGAACTTGAAAGTAGAATTTTTACCGACAGTAGAGGAAAATGGAGAGAAGAGAAAAGGAAAGCAGAAAACAATCGAAATGCCAAGTCATGAAGGAACGATGAATTTTGTATAGGACAACTTAAGGAAGGTGGACAAATAGTGTATTTTCATATTTTACAAATACAGTGTGTGATCCTGCATAAGACAAACATTTTGTCCACCCTTCAAGAATTTGTTAATTATGATAGGGCCTAAACACAGTTTATGTCTAATTCTTTCTGATATTCAGTGCAACAACGTAATCTGGCTGAGTGAACGCGGTATAAAAGGAGTGGTTAATGGGAAACATGACCTTCAATACTTGCTGTGCAACAAAGAGCATGTGTCTAACTTTATAACATGAAACAATAAAAACGCCGTATATTCATTATGTACAAAATATAAGTAAATCGAACTACAACTCCGTGCACACACCGCATAATCCAACTGTTACAACAAATACTACTCTTAGTTTTGTTATAAGTCTAATCCTATAATTAAAACGATTTTTACAACAGGAAGCACAAATCGTCACAATATCGACAAAACAAACTAACCGAATTTATCACAATCCCTCTTGGATCATCTTTCAGCATTTCACCAAAAATAAATGAAGCCTTTGTAAGGCCTATTTTAGATACCGCATACGCACTTGACACCCAACCTTTCTCAGAATAAGTACCATCCTCAGCAGACCTAATAATAAATTCAAAGTAAAAGCAATTATATTTGCGACAAACGGAAAGAACTATATGTTACATGAAACCTTAAACTCCTGTAGTTTCACGAATCTGAAACTAACCATACTACCAAAGAAATTCACAAAAATAGTATATAAACGCGACACGAATTGTTGCCTTCCAAATTTCAAAGATATGACTAAACACATTTTGTGTAGAAAAGACACCTCGCAAATTAACTACTTACGTTCCAAAAAATTTAACAATGTCGGAAAATTTGTAGAAAATATATTTCACAACAGCAATAAATTCGAATTATAAAATTATGGAATCAAATCAAATTGGTTATAGTACTCAACACCAACCTCAATGAAAAAATCAACTTACCTTACAAACTCCGCCATAAGTTCTTTTAGTTCAAAAAGATTCATTTGGCCGACAAATTTTTCGTACAGATCGTCACTAAGTTCCATCAGATTGGACAAAGAAAGAGTAGAAGATACATTGACGACTCTAAACAGTAGGAACTAATTCTTCTAGCTCACCTGGCATTTTCAGCCAGTAAAGGAATGAACTCTTCCGTGAAATCGACAGTCGAAGTGAAGTTAACGTTAACAGTGACTCGGGCTTGCTCGCCATGTGACTCTGGAGTGTCAGCCTATAATGACATATGAGATTTTAAGAACAAAACAACTTTAAAGGCAATCGCAGCATTATTCACTGCAATGTTGATTCCATTAGGATAGTTTCTCTCTACAAATGTTAGGAACGCTTTTCGACTATCTCGATCAGTTATATCTAGTTGATGAAATTTAACATCCAGGCCCTTTTTACTGAGCTTCTCCACAGCTTCCTGACCAAGCTCAACATTTCGAGCTGTTAAATTATCAACCAACAACTTCTTACCTGTTAGATAAATATCCCACTCTCCTGATGACCCATAAAATTCTGCAAGCTTTTCAACAATGCTATATCCAATGCCTTTGTTTGACCCAGTTACCTAAAGAGGAGTAATAAATTGTTTGTAAGATTAGTAAACCCATCATACGAATGCCAGTTTCATGATAGCGCCAAAATACTGATAAAATACCGTCGTGTACTGAATCCGTCAACTAGCAAACGTACTGAATGAGAACTAAATCTGTTAAGCAATATGTTGACAATTTATCAGGGCAATATCTGAACACTTTAAACGCCTACACTAATTGAATCTCAACTACCAATCATAATGATGCTTGCAATCAGTAGTTTTCTAGTACATGCGATAGAACATCTTTCTGATTGGAAAATACAGAATCATTACCTAAAAAGCTGGCATGAACAACGCGATGCAACCAATAATCTCGTTATTCGTTAACCAATAATTTATTAACGATAAGTCGTGTCCTTATTGAATGAGTTGACGCCAATGATCACTCAGATAAAATAAAATAAGTGCTTAATAGTGTAATTATTGGTTCAAATGCGCTCGTGTTTGGATCCTTCTGAGCTCTGTGGTTTTAAAACACAGAAACGCATTTCTATGTCTTTGCCCCAGACATTATCCTCTTTTAGTGACTTTTATAGAGAAGCCGAGATTACTTATGTTTAAATAATTGGATCAAATGGAGGCATTGGATATACCATTGTTGAAAAGCTTGCAGAATTTTATGGGACATTGGGAGAGTGGGATATTTATCTAACAGGCAAGAAGTTGTTGGTTGATAATTTAACAGCTGGAAATGTTGAGATTGGTCTGAAAGAGTTGGAGAAGCTCGGCAACAAAGGTTTGTTTGTTAAATTTCATCAACTAGACACAACCCTTCTAGGGTTAATGCCAATCCCAAACCTGGGTGAAGTAGGAGGATTGAGCATACGGACAACGATCCCATCCCATTGAAATAAACCTTGCTAAAAACAACGCAGACCAGAATAAACAATTAAAAGCACTTAAACTCTGCTCACCTAGTTAAATAAAAAATTTATGACACCTCATGATAAAAGCTGTAATTGTTCGGAAGTTATGAGGCCGATGCCTCTTCTAACAAACAGAACAACAATTAATGTAGCTATACAGAATGTCCGGACAATGTGTGAGACTGCAATGACCAGTCGAATAGCTACAGAAATTATTAGATTCAATTTGTCCGTGCTCAGAATCAGTGAAACCCGTTGGAACTAAGCTGGACAGAAATGGATAAATTGAGGAGCGGTGCTGCTGTACTCTGGTCATGAAAGACTCAGCACACTCTCAACTTCCAGATCAATAGGCTGAATTCCGTGAGGATCGGTCATGCACAGACCAAATTGGGACATTATGGATCATTGTTGAACGATCACTTGAGTGGGACTCATCACTATTCGTCAAATGTTTTGAACATAAGATGGC